GGGAGACATTAGATCAATTGGCATAACAAAGTTTATTAAGAAAATGTTCTGCATTCCACTTTGGTGAGTGGTGCCTAGGGTATTAAAAGCTTGCGAGCTAAGACCTTCTAAGATGCATCAATTGGCCCCAACCCACCTGGAGCAAAGGAGAACGAAAGAACACCAAAGACACAAGGAAAATATTAGCCCAAGAGACAAAAGGTCCACATAAACCAGAGACTTCATCAGCCTGAGACCAGATGAACTAGATGGTGCCCGGCTACCACCAATGACCGCACTGACAGGGAACACAGCAGAGAGTCTGTGATGGAGCAGGAGAAGGTGCTGAGCAGAACTCAAATTCACGTAAGAAGACCAGACTTCATGGCCTGACAGAGAGTGGAGGAACACCCGAAACTATGGCCCCCAGATGCTCTGTTAACTCGGGATTAAACCCATTTCTGAAGCCCATTCTTCAGATAAAGATTAGCCTGAACTGTAAAACAAAAAATAATACATGTGTGGAGTGTGCTTCTTAGTTCAAACAGATATGTGAGATACACAAGACCACATGGGTGGTTTCTGTCTGGAGGCAGGATGAGAAGGCAGGAAGGGACAGGAACTGGTTGAATGGACACAAGAAATCTGGGATGGAAAGGGGGTGTGTGCTCCCCCACATTAATGTCACATAACAATACGTGTATAAATTTTTGTATGAGAAATTACCTTGAGCTGTAAACTTGCACCTAAATCGCAATAAAATATATGTATATATACCATGGACTGCCAGAAGAACGAACAAATCTGTCTTGGAAGAAGTACAGCCAGAATTCTTCTTAGAAGCGAGGATGTCGAGACTTCATCTCACATACTTTGGACATGTTATCAGGAGGGACCAGTCCCTGGAGAAGGACATCATGCTGGTAAAGCAGAAGGTCAACGGAAGAGAGGAAGACCCTCAACGAGATGGATTGACACAGCAGCTGCAACAATGGGCTCAAACATAGCAATGATTGTGAAGAGGGGGCAGGACCGGGCAGTGTTTCTTTCTGTTGTACATAGGGTTGCTATGAGTTGTAACCGACATGATGGCACCTGACAATAATAATGATCCAGCAGTCCCACTCCTAATATACTCTAGAGACCTAAGAATAATGACATGAACAGACATTTGCACACCTGTTTTCTTGATGCTTTATTCACAATAGCAAATAAATGGAAACAACTGAAGTGTCCATCAACAGATGAATGGATAAGCAAACTATGGTACATATATACAGTGGAATAATACACACCCATAAAGAACAATGAGTCCTTGAAACATATAACATGAATGGACCTGGAGGGCGTAATGCTTAGTGAAATAAGTCAAGCATATAAGGACAAATTTTGTATGATCCCTCATTTATAAGAAGACAAGGATAGGTAAATATAGAGAATCCAGTGTTCATTGATGGTAAGGGCAGGGGAAGTATACTTTACACAGTAGAGACTGGTTATTTTTGGTGATAGTTAAAGTGGCATCAATCGTGGATGTAGTGAGCATGGCACAACCAAAGTAATAATGAGCATTTGAGCACATACGGATGGGTATAGGCAAATTGGAATACGGTAGGTACAGATGCGCACGTAGGTGAGAACAGATAGAAGTATCTATAGGTATGTGTAAATATAAATATGTGGGTGCAGGCACATGTATTCATTGAAGACACAAATACAGATTCTTCTCAGACACAACCAAACACCTTCCAACATTGGTTTTCTGGGTTTGAAGTCTTAGGACCACAGTCTCATGGGACAGCTCAGTCAATTGGCAGAACAGTTCACAAAAATCATGATCTGCATCGTAGTGAAGTGAGTAGTGTCTGGGGTCTTAAAAGCTTGCCAGGGGCTATCTAAGACACAGCTACGTGTCTCGACTTGCCAGGCACAGAACAGTAAGAAGATAACCAAAAGCTCAAGGGAGAAACAGGTCTATACAAGCCACAACCTCATCTACCCTGAGACCAGAAGAACTAGATGGTACCTGGCTACCACTGCTGACAGTTCTGACCAGGGCCACAATAGTTGGCACTGGATAGAATGGGAGAAAAATATGGAGCAGAACTCAAATTCTTATCAGGAAAAAAATAAAAAGCCAAGCTGGAACAGTAGAGAACAGAAGACACCCTGAGACTGTTGTCCTGAGACACTCTATAAACTTAGAACCGAGCCTCTCCCCTGAGATCACCTTTAAGGGAAACAGCACAGAGGGACACAAAGTAAAGGATATTACCTGTAAGATCGGTTCCCTGCTTAAAACCATCAGTATGGGCCGGCAAGGTAGAGTACTGGAAATGGAACAAACAGAACACAAAGAGAATGTTAACCCATTGTGATAAATGTAACTACTGTCACTGAACAATTTGTACGAACTTGTCAAATGGGAACCTAACTTGCTATGTAAACTTTCACCAAAAACTCAATAAAATATTATTAAAAAAAAAAAAAAAAGACAGTGCCACTGCTCAGACAGTAAAGAGGCCCAGCTGTGATAACTCAAACTAAACATGGTATTTAAATCTCAGCTTCAAGTACTTACCTGTATCTTCAATCTGTCACATTTGGCTTTAACTCCTTTTATTCGTGCAGCTATGAAGGGATGGAAATAAATGTTTAACTCATCTCTTTTCAAAAATAGATCATAATTTGACACAAGTTTTAAAGATTGTCATAAATAAATGAGAGCTAGAAGGCCAAAGTCTGGAATTATTTTTCCCCATTTCTAGCCTTGTCATAAATTAATACTTACTGAGTGTCCATTTTGCACCAGGAGCTAGCTTGGTCTTTTATCTTTTGTACATAATTACGGAAGGTAATTGCAAAATGCAAGCCCTTCAGCCAAACCCCATTGATTCTACTCTTATAGCATGAACACTGTCAAACAAATGAACCCTGGCTCCTCCTAATGCTGCCTCTGTGTCCTGCAGAGCTGCCAGCCTGGGCAGACAGGGCTGTGAGTGCCCCCTGCCTCACGTTGGTGTTGTGTGTCCAGGAGCCCTTTCTTCACTGCTCACCTGTGAATTAATTCTAAATATGTACAACTGACGGTCGAGGTTGCAGTTTTCTAACGATTGCATCTGTATTACAGAACTGCAGGCTGAAGAACTGCTCTTGCCCGCGCACACATTTTTGCCCTTTATTTATTCACCAGGGTCCTATTTCTTTCAGGTTCTCGGTGCACTCAGTGCTCCGTGGCTTTGGAGTGATAGTGCTAAAACATTTTTCTTATTAAAACTTTCATGTTCTAGTTGTAGATGTTACCCTTTATTGCTCCTTCATTCTTTCAGTAAATATTTATTGAACACTTACCAAATGAGAGTTGCTACTAGGCCATAAAGGGGACTGATACAAAGATGAAAAAGAAAAATTGCGTGCTTTTAAGGAATTAAAGTTCTGTACAGGAGATTAGGCATGTACACATGGTGTCCAAGGTAGTGGGAAAGGTTCTTCGAGTTCTAGAGTTTTGGCATAGAGATGAATCTAGTCCAGGGGTCAGCAAACCGCTAAATATTTTAAGCTTTGCAGGGCCATAATGTAGTGGATATACAACTACTCAACTCTGTGGTTGTAGCACAAAAGCAGCCAAGGACAATGTGCGTGCCAGTAAAGCTTTATTTTACCAAATAGACTGAGAGCAAAGTGTGGCCCCCTGATCTACTTTAAGGGGGCAGTGGTGGTTCAGTGGTAGAATTCTCACCTTCTATCAGGACACCCAGATTCGATTCCCAGCCAATGCACCTCATGTGCAGCCACCATCTGTCTGTCATTGGAGGCTTGCACGTTGCTATGATGCCAAACAGGTTTCAGTGGAGCTTCCAGACTGACAGACTGGGAAGAAAGGCCTGGCAATCTCTTTTCTTAAATAAGCTAACAAAAACCCAATGGATCATACAACGTGTTCGATCTGCAATTCATCACAGGATGACACAGGAGCGGGCAGCATTTTGTTCTGTTGTGCATGGGTTCTAAGGCAGCTAACAGCAACACAACAATGATCTAGTCTAACCCCATATTATTCAGAGTAGGACACTTACACCCTGAGAGGTTAAATGACCTTTACAGGTTACTACAAGTAGTCATTGGGAGAACAAGTATTCAAAGTCAGGTCCTTTAATTCCAAGACCAGAGCTCATTTCACTATACCATGTGATACCTCTCTGCTCCCCAGCACTGCCTGGGCCAGGCAGGACATGGCACAGGCTCGAACAAGTATATCATTCTAGGGTCCCCTGCAAGTTGCCTTCTGATCTTGGCTGACTTTATCTTTCAACCTCCACTGTAGGTTGCTCCAGTTAAACCATCTCGACCAAAAAGGCACTTCTCTTCTGCTGGCACCATTGAAAGTGTCAACCTAGATGCCATCCCCCTGGCCATCGCTCACCTGGACAACAGTGCCGCCAAGCACAAACTGGCTGTTAAGCCAAAAAACCAGAGGTTATCAAAGAAGCACAGGCGACTTGCTCCAGTACGTACAGCCCTGCCCTCACTGACCAGGCAGTTGTCCTTGCTCCTGGTCACTACTTCTACCCCAGCGGGTTGGTATTATGGTGGACCCATAGAAGGAACTAGGTGTCTCCCCACTGGGAACTTGTGTGTGGCAGTGTACAAAGGTAAGCAGGATGTTGACTTTCCAGAGCCTTTTCTGATATGTTGCCCTATGGTAGGCTGGTGGACCACAGAAGGAGAGGCTGCCCTTTGAGGGGCTCTGAGTTTGCTTTGCAGGAGAAAGGTGGCCCAGCTTTCCTTTACCCCACCTTGGCAAAATATCCTTCAATTATATTAGGGTGGACTTCTAAGTCATAAGTTTCAGGGGATGTTGATGAACTCCAGATCTCAATTTCTCTTATCTTCTTAACGCTTGACTATTGGTTTTCCTGGGTGGGGCAAATGGTTAACATGCTCAGCTACTAAGCAAAAGATTGGAGATTCATCTCCATCCAGAGGAGCCTCAGAAGAAAGGCCTGGTGATCTGCTTCCAAAAAAACCATTGAAAACCCTATGGAGTACAGTTCTACTCTGACACACACGGGCTCTCCATGAGTCTGAGTCTACTTGACAGCAGTCAGTACTGAAACTAGTGTTGGTTTTCCTATGATTGTTCATGTGTATTAAGATTAAGGAATTTGGGGATGATGAATAAAAGGTGGTTGTTGTTAGGTGCCGTCAAGTCAATTCCGACTCATAGTGACCCCATGTGATAGAGTAGAACTGCCCCATATGGTCTTCTAGGCTGTAGTCTTTATAGGAAAGATCGACAGTTCTTCCTGTGGAGTCACTGAGTGGGTTCGAACTGCCAATCTTTTGGTTAGTAGCCGAGCACTTAACCATTGCACCACCAGGGCTCCTTTAAATAAAGGGGCTAAAGAGTAAAACATAAAGTTCTTTTCCTTCATTCCCACAACTTACGGTATGATCTATGCCTGAGTTTATCGGTGGATGTACTTATGAGCATGTGCTCCTTCCTTTGAGATGAAGAGGGCCACCTACATTGTGAATAGGGTCAGTAATGATTGCCTGTGGAAAAAGGAAAAGAACTAATTCTGTTTCCCTTATCAATGTTAGGATCGACGAAATGAGCAAGGTGGCCTGGTGAACCAGTTGTCCCTGGACCAGAATGGACACCCCGGAGAAGACAAGCAAATTTGGCATGAAGAGGAACCAGAACCACTGGATTCCGAGGAAGAGAAAAGACGCCAAGAAGAATACTGGCGAGAACTTGAGGCCAAGTGCAAACGGCAAAAGGCCGAGGCAGCAGAGAGGCGACGCTTAGAAGAGCAGAGGTTGCAGGCCCTGGAGAGGAGGCTGTGGGAGGAGAACCGAAGGCAGCAGCTCCTGGAGGAAGAAGGGGAGGAGGAGGAGGGGAAGGAGCAAGAACCTCTGCTAGAAGTAGAGGTGGAGAACATGCAGCAAGAAGAGGACAGGTGGAGGTGGGAAGAGCTAGTTGGCCCAGACCCAGAGGGAAGGGAGAGAGAGGTAAAAGAACTGGAGGCTGAAGAGCTGCAGAGGCTGAAGGAAGAGGCCAGGCAGCTAGAGAAGCGCAGACAGCAGGAGGAACTGGAGGCACAGAGACAGTGGGAAGCTGAGAGTCAGCGGCACGAAGAAGAAGAAAGGCTGGAGGAGCTCAGAAGGCTGGAGGAACTGGAGGCACAGAGAAGGCAAGAGGAAGAGGAAAAACAGATGAAGGAGCTCCAAAGGCTGGAGGAGGAGCAGAGATGGCAGGAGGCTGAGAAGCAGCGGCTTCAGGAGGAGGAAAGGAGGCTGGAGGAGCTCCAAAGGCTGGAGGAATTAGAGGCGCAGAGAAGGCAAGAGGAAGAAGAAAAACGGATGATGGAGTGCAGAAGGTTGGAGGAGCTGGAAGTGCAGAGAAGGCGGGAGGAAGAGGAAAGGAGGCTGGAGGAGCTCAGACAACAGGAAGAGCAGAAAGAACAGAGAAGGCGGGAAGAAGAGGAGCAGAGACTACGGGAAGAAGAAGAAAAACGGATAAAGGAGCTCAAAAGGCAGGCAGAACTGGAGGCACAGAAGAGACAGGAGGAGGCGAGGAGACTGGAAGAGCTCAAAAAGCAGGAGGAAATGGAGCTACAGAAGAGGCAGGAAGCCGAAAAGAAGCACCAGGAAGACTTGCAGAGACGAGATGAAGTGAGAGGGCTGGAGTTAGAAGAAGAAAGGGGCTTTCGGAGCCCACTTCAGAAAGATTTTGAAGAGAAACCAGGAGAACAAGAAAACGTGAAGCCAAAAAAGCAAAGAGAAAGCTCTGAGGAGCCAAGTATTGATGAGATGCAAAACCCAGAGGCCAAGCCATCAAGAGAGCAGCCGGGAAAGTGGGGGTATGTTCATGGGGATGTCCATCGCTTACTTCCGGGAAAGAGAGAAGACCCTAAACCAGAACCTCCTCAGAAAAAAGAGGATCAAAGGGAGGAAATGCTGACTCCACTGGACAGGAAAGAAGCGGTCACTCCAGAAGCCCACCGGAAGGTGGAGGAACTCAGGTGGCAGGAAGTGGATGAGAGACAGACCATGCCCAGGCCGTACACGTTCCAGGTGTCCTCAGGAGGAAAGCAAATCCTCTTCCCCAAAGTCAACCTGAGCCCAGTGATGCCCGGGAAGGATGCAGGACTTGCATCTGCTCCCCTTGAACCAAAGGCCCACAAAGCCATCCCGGTCTCTCACGCTCTGCCCTCGGCCCTGAGCATTCCCCACACGGCCATTCTGGTTACCGGAGCACAGCTCTGCGGCCCAGCCGTCAACCTGAACCAGATCAAGGACACAGCGTGCAAGTCTCTCTTGGGCTTGTCCGAGGAAAAGAAGCACATGGACCTCCCTGCTGTGAAGAACGCACCTCGAGCCCCCAGCGATCCCCAGACAGGCAGCGGGAAGGCCAAGCCTCCGCAAGAGTCTTCGAGCAGCGTGACGGCACTAGCCGAATGGGCTTCCATTCGGTCCAGGATCCTAAAGAACGCGGACAGTGACCAGGGCGCTGAGAGAGACCAGAGGTTGGGTGATGAACGCACTCCCAGGGGCCGAAGTGATTCCCGAGGAAACCTCCAGAGGACCCCGCCAGTCAGTGCAAAGTTCTCTATTATGTCTGCCCGGCAGAAGTTCTCTAATGGTGGCATGGAGACCTCTAAACAAAATGCAGAAACAGAAAGTATTCGAAAAAGACCCGTGCCAGGACCCAGTGAGGAGCCAGAGCCCCTGCCTCCGGCCGCCAGTCCTCATGAGCACTGGAAGAGTCCAGAGAAACTGGGGATGCACCAGGAGCCAATGGACACCACGGAGGGATGCAAATTTGCCAAAGACCTTCCATCTTTCCTTGTTCCAAGCCTCCCTTCCCCTCCACAGAAAGTGGTGACCCGCACAGAGTCTGTGAACACTTTGGAAAGTGAGACCACAAGCGGTAACGGGAAGCCAGACCATGCGATGTCGGGTGGGGAGGAGAAAACCTCACCTTTTGGAATAAAATTGAGGAGGACCAACTACTCCTTGCGCTTCCACTGTGACCAACAGATGGAACAAAAGAAGAAGAAAAGGCACAGCGGCACAGGGGACGGTGTTGATGGGGCTCCACCTGCCCCGGGGAGCACAGGTGGTGAGAAAGAGACAGAGGGTGTGGCCCTCAAGCATGGCCCAACCCTCACCCAAGAGAGGAAGCCGACCACCCGGAAGGACACTGCAGAAACCCCTTCTAGTCACTCGCCTCCTATGACTCAGCCTGGGCCCCCACCTCCCAACAGCCAGACCCCACCTGCAGATCATGACAAGGTAGCAAATAAAATGCCATTGGCACAGAAACCAGCACTGGCTCCCAAGCCCACCAGCCAGACTCCACCGTCATCCCCACTCTGCAAACTAAGCAGGCCCTACTTGGTAGAGCTGCTGGCCCGCCAAGTGGCCAAGCCTGGCCCGGAGCCCATTGAGAGGGCCAAGGAGAGCAGTGACACGCGGCCACCCTCACCACCATCCCCCGAAGAAAGGAAGGGGAAGAAGAGGGATGAGGCAGAAGAGGCGCCAGAGAGGAAACCCTCTTCCCCGGCTCTGCCTGCTGCTTGCCACGAGAAGCCTTCCCTAACACCTGAGGCTGGGAGGAGAGGTATGTAGCTGTGGTTGGGGAAACTGTGCCATCTGTCCAGCTCATTGTCTAAGTCACAGCTAAAGCCAGAACTGCCCAAAGCCCGAAGTAACCAGTGGAGCTGGTGTTGGGAGTACCTTCCTTAATTAGAGGCTAGTTTGTTATTCCCAAAAGACCCTCACTCGTGAGCCATAGTGAGGCTCTTTTTCTATTCATTCTTTAAAATTTTGAAATTACTGACTGCCTCCTACAGGTATGCAGTTCACACCTATTAATGACATTTACATGAGTAGTAAGTTAAAGGTGCCGACACCTATACCAGTAAGTGTTTTGTTCATAATAGATACTGAAATATAATCCTAATTAGTATATATGTCAGTAATCATTATAAGGGTGACGTGCAGTGGTGATGAAGACTGGAGTTGCCTAGACCAGTGGAAAGTTCTGGCTTCTGTTTGTAGATGGTAGTGGCACCAAGATGGGAGGTTAAGGGGTCTTAGACGTCTCCATTGGGCCTCCCCTCTTCAAATGCTGTCATATGGAAAGTTGACGTGGTCTCAGTTTTATGTAAAATGCTCTGCAAATGCAGTATCTGGTCTCCCACTCCCACCCCACCCCACCTGCTTGCTACTCTGCAGCCTTCCCATAAAGAGCCGTTCGCTGGACTGTTACCTCTGGCTGACCCTGATGTTTCTTCATACGAAATGCTTTGGGCGGCTGAGTGATCACTTTGTACCCCCTAAGAGTCTTCATCTAATCTATTTTTTCTTTTCCATTTTGCATAGAGCAGGATGGTCAAGTATAGTTAATAGCCCAGGAAGTTCCTCGCATTTCTCCAAGGAATTCTCTGCGGTGTTTATAGGAAAGGATCGTGTTCTCTTTCTGTTTAATTGTTTGGGTTTGGGGTGATTTTTGCAGAGAAAAGGGTGGTTTCCTGAGGAGTGCTGGTTTGATTTCTCACCTTATGGAAGATGCTATTGTCCTTTTGAAATGTTCCCTTGTTTTTGTTTGGTTTTCTGGATGAGTTTGTAGATCAGTTTCCAGACCATTTCTCCCCAAGGTTTTCTGTCTGTCCTGCTGGATGAGGGGCCCATTTTTAATTTTGACATTACCTTTTGTCTCCTTAGCTTCCGTGGTATCCTCTAAGCCCCCGCTCTGTACGTCTATCACTTCCCCTTATCTTCTCCTCGAAGAAGTAGCTCTTCTGCTGTACTTTATCTTAAGAGAGCCCCTTTGCTAATTGTAATTTTCTAAGAAAAACTACTTGCTGCCCCTTTTTGCTTTCCCAGTATCCAGATTCTGGATTTTTGAATTTTTCATTATTTAGCAGAAATGAAGCCTGACAGAGCAAGGACCACCTGTCTTGTGGGTGCTGTTACCTCCAAAGATCCTTCACTGGGATTTTGCTCTCTGACTGCTCTAGACCAGGGCTAACCAACTTTGTCTGACTGAACACCCCATCAGAATAAAAATGTTAAGCATGAACCTCCAATTTATTTGTTAATTGTATACCTGTAATGCCCTGCTGGCACAGTGATAAAGAGCTTGGCTGCTAACTAAAAGGTCAGCAGTTCAAATCCATCATCCACTCCTTGGAAACCCTATGGAGCAGTTCTGCTCTGTCCTTTAGAGTCGCTATGAGCTGAATTGACTTGGTGGCAGTGGGTTTGGTTTTGTTTTGGTTTGGTGCCATCATTAGCTAATACCCCCCAGAGCACCAGATACACGTTGAATGAAGTTCATTGTTAACAACATTGGGTATAAATCTACATTGCAAATCATTGTGCTAATTTTTATTTTCTTTTACTAACTTCTTGTCCAGCTGATTTCTTCCTAAAATAGTAGGCAAAGAGCTTGCACTAGGTCTGAGATGAGCTCAGCTCTGCCTCTTTCTTAGTAGTAATGTCTTAAATCGATGGTTTGTTTCCAGGAATTTCTTTAAGCCATGTGTTCATTTTGTAAGAGATCGCTTAGTTAAAAGGGGACAGGGTATTCCATAAACTTAGTTATCTAGTGCTGCTATAACAGAAACATCACAAGTGGGTGGCTTTAACAAACAGAAATTTATTTTCTCACAGTTTGTTGTTGTTGTTAGGTGCCATCAAGTTGGTTCTGCTTCACACCCTGTGTACAACAGAACAAAGCATTGACCAGTCCTTCACCATCCTCACAATCCTTGTTATGCCTGAGCCAATTGTTGCAGCCACTGTGTCAATCCATTTCGTTGAAGGTCTTCCTCTTTTTCGCTGACCCTCTACTTTACTCAACATGATGTCCTTCTCCAAGGACTGATCCCTCCTGATAACCTCTCCAAAGTCTCGCCATCCTCGCTTCTAAGGAGTATTCTGCCTGTACTAGAAATCCAAATTCAGGGCACCGACTCTAGGGAAAGGCTTTCTCTCTCTGTCAGCTCTGGAGAAGGTCCTTGTCTTTCTTCAACTTCCGTTCTGCAGTTCCTTGGGGATCTTCATGTGGCATGGCGTCTGTCTCCCCCCACCCCCCGTTTGTGCTTGCTTGCTTAATCTGCTTTTATATCTCAAAAGAGATTGATTTAAAGCACACTCTACACTAATTCTGCCTAATTAACATAACAAAGAAAACTCAGTTCCGAATGGGATTATAACCACAGGTATAAAAAAAAAAAAAACAAATCCATGTTGTCAAGTCGATTCCGACTCATCGCTATCTTATAGGACGGAGTAGAACTGCCCCCATAGGGTTTCCAAGGAGCGGCTGGTGGATTCAAACTGCCGATCTTTTGGTTGGCAGCTGAGCTCTTAACCACTGCGCCTCTAGGGCTCCAACCACAGGTATAGGGGTTAGGATTTAGAGTTTAGATTTTTGGGTGACACAATTCAATCCATAACACTCACCTAACTGCAGAACCTCGCAATATGCTAAAAGCAAAAAGCAAGGGAGGCTACCATTGCCAGTCCTTCTATATACACCTCGTAGCACTCCCCTGCTTCCCTCTGGATTCTTGAGACATACTGTTTGTTAGAGATGGCCTTCTGATATATGGACTGAGTGGAGGTGCTAGTGCCACTCTGTGTATTAAATATTAGAGAAACTTTATCTTGTTTTTATTTTTAGATTAAAAAATGTAAATATAAATCCTCGTAGTTCTGTAGTCATAGTCTATAATGTCCCTGTGAATACCGAATTAGCAAACACCGAACCTGCCTTATATGACATCAGCTGTAACTTTTTTGCTATCTGTGCATGCATATGCCTGTAAATGCCTACAAAATCGTGGGAGTGTTTTTAGCAAATGGGGGGTGGGGGTGGTGCGGTTTGCTAATAGGAATCTGAGAGTGATAAGTGTATTTTCTGTCACTCCAATGAATTACCTTGTGCATGCACACACACACACATACACACGCCCTTTTCTGGAAACCTTTGCATTTCCCAAGGCTTAGGCCAGAGAGGATCAACACTTAAGCCAAGCCCCAAGGAGGGCATTAACTCAGAACCCACCCCAGTGGAAATTAAAATAGCAATAATAATTCCTCATGTGTTTGTACTGTAAATACTTTCATTACAGCTATTATCTCATTCTGATATTCCTACCTACTGAGAGTGGGTAGAACAGATATTAAGTACCGCTTTGTCTAAGAATTGATCTTTGAGAGTTGTGACTTAATGTTATGAGCTGCCATCTAGTCCACCCTGATTCATGGTGACTCCATGCACAATGGAACAAAATGCTCCTCAGTCCTGTGCCACCCCCGTGATTGGATGTAGGTTGGACCTTTGTGATCCACAGAGTGTTCACTGACTGATTTTTGGAAGGTGATTGCCAGGCCTTTCTTAGTCTGCCTTAGACTGGAAGCTCTGCTGAAACCTGTTCACCATCTTAGTAACACGAAAGCCTCCAGTGACAGATGGGTGGTAGTTGCACGTGATGTGAATTGGCTGGGAATCGAACCCAGCTCTTGTGCGAAAGGCAAGAATTCTACCACTGAACCACCACTGCCTCTGAGACCCATTGCCGTCGAGTCTCATAGTGACCTATAGGACAGAGTAGAACTGCCGCATAGGATTTCCAAGGAGTGGCTGGTAGATTTGAACTGCCGATCTTTTGGTTGAGCAGCCTGAGCTCTTAACCACTGTGCACCAGGGCTCCATCCACAAATATAGTGGTTAGGATTTACAACACATATTTTGGGGGGATGTAATTTCATCTTGTGAAGGGAGGGAGTAGGAACACACCATAATCCAACAATCTTTTCCAAAGAAATTCTCCACTATGGCTTCTTCAGCCTCAACCCTGGTTTTTCTGAGCTATTGAGGCGGCATCAGTCAGACCTGAGTAGGTGATCCAGCACCTGGCTTTGGAATGTGTGAGAATGTGTGCTATTGATTATTTTGTTACAGACCTTTGGGGCATCCTTGGCTAAACCTCAGGCAGGAGTCCCATTTGAACATACTATTCATGTTTCTTGAGCCCCAACTATAAGCCAGACCTGTTGGGCCTCTACATACATTACAGTAGCACCTGTTTTAAAGTCCTGTCCGTACTTCCAGGATTCTCTAGTCAACTTACAGTTCTAAGGAAATAAAAATCTAGACAGGGATTTCTTTTTTCAAATTATTTTAGTCAGTTGTAAATTTAGTCAGTTATACTTTAAAGGCATTTGACGTTGTGGTAAACATCAGTCAAAGTTTTGGCAGAAAACTGGTTGCTATATGTAAAGGCCTCACCAGGCAAATTCAGTTTAAATGTTCAGCCCTGCATTTGCTTTTACATAGTCGCTTTAGATGGCCGTTTAGAGCTTGGCAATTCGATTTTTAGGGATTTTACAAAGATGTGTTACCCAGCCTTGAGTGAAAAGCAGAAACACAAGTTAGTTCACATGGGTGTAAAGCATCTCAGTTAAGCAGAAAGTTTGAGGTGGTGAATTCTTTTTCATTTTTCTGATTAACTAAAGATTAATTAAAAAAGCCTTTCAATTTCATTTGTTAAAAAAAAAATTCTGAAATGTGTCAGTGTTCTTTCCTATGTAAGGTCTTAACTAATCTTTATCTGATGATGAGGGATATTGCAAAGCCCAAGGCTCATTATTAATAGAAACTCTCTTTGTACGGCATTATAGAGTGAAAAGGTATAAAAAATTAAGCAGAATTTACCTTTTTTTTTGCTTGAATCCCTAATCTGAGCTTTTTTTCTTGTCATTTGATCTTTCTCGTTATCCTGGAGTACAATATAAAGTGCAGCTGACGGAGAACCATGGTCAGTAAGGTTCTAGATAATCAGGGTGTCAACTTTTATTAGATTTTAACAGAACAGGACTATGACGAGCCCTTTTCCTTTAAGATAGTAAAGGATTCCATTTGGGTATGGGTTTTGTTATGTTGAAGAGACAGCGTTAGTGTAGAGTATGTGGTAAATCAAGCTCTTTTGAGATATAAAAGAGATTAAACAAGCAAGTGAGCAAGCAGAGCTGAGGGAAGATAGATGCCATACCACAAGCAGATCCTTACAAACAAGGACGTTCTCCAGAGCCAACAGAGAGAGAAAGCCTTGACCTACAGCCGGCACCCTGAATTTGGACTTCTAGCCTCTTAATTGTGAGAAAATAAATGTCTGTTTATTAAAGCCAAAAATTAATTAATTAATTTAAAAAAAAAAAACAAGCTTCTTCAAAGGGGTAAAAATCAGGCTGACTTACGACTTCACCATGTCAAATTCAGTGCCAGAAGACATGGAGCAATGTCTACAACATTCTAAGGGAAAGCTGACCTAAGAATTTTATACACAGTCAAGTAGTCTATTCAAATACAAAAGTAACAGGCAGACAGACAGACATTGCTGAAAACACTACTCTAGGATGAAATCCAGCCAAACAAGAAAGATTTAAAATAAAGCTCTCAACATGGAAAAGTCAAGGTAAAAGGCTTCGAGATGAAAATAGAATCAGTTTAAACATAGAACCAAGATTAAAGAATAGGGGAAATATGGTGTGAAATAGAATGTCAATTTTATAAACAAAGTAATTGACTCCCTTCTTTTAGGGAAAAAAAACAAAAACAAAAAAATATAGTAGAAGATTCATTAGCAGAATGATTATCTCTGAAAGTGCATAATTTTGCTTACAAGAAAAGAAGGGGCGTCACTGTGTCATGTACATGATGACAGCTAACTTTTCTGGAGTGATTACTCTATGCCGAGCATTGTTCTAAATGCCCAGGATCTCTTTTAATCTTCACATAGCCTGATAAGGCATGTGCCATTACCATCTCTCTCTTTTTTTTAATGTTGTTTTTGGTGAAATATACAAAACAGAACCTATACCCATCCAACAATTTCTACATGTACAGTTCGATTAGATTGGTTATCATCTGTCTTGGTCATCTAGTGCTGCTATAACAGAAATACCACAAGTGGCTGGCTTTAACAAAGAGAGATTTATTCTCTCACAGTCTAGTAGGTTCCAAGTCCAAATTCAGGGCATCAGCTCCAGGGGAAGGCTTTCTCTGTGGGCTCTGGAGGAAGGTGCTTGTCATCAGTCTTCCCTTGTTCTGGGAGCATCTCAGCGCAGGAACCTCAGGTCCAAAGGACACACTTTGCTCCTGGCACTGCTTTCTTGGTGGTATGAGGTCCCCATTTCTCTCTGCTTGCTTCTCTCTTTTATACCTCAAAAGAGATTGATTTAAGACACTATCTAATCTTGTAGATTTCATCAATATAACTGCTGCTAATCCATCTTATTACATCATGGTGATAGGATTCACAACACACAGGGGCATCAGATTACAGAATGGTAGACAATCATTCAATGCTGGGAATCATGACCTAGCCAAACTGATACACACATTTTTGGGGGGACACAATTCAGTCCTTGACACCATCTTTATATTGTGTCACTGTTCTTGCCATCTCTGCCTGTATTGTTTCACCACCGTTAGCTTAGACTCTAACAAACCAAACCACTGCCGTGGAGTAGATTGCGACTCATACCAATCCTACAGGACAGAGTAGAACTGCCCCATAGGGCTTCCAAGGCTGCAAATCTTCACGGAAGCCAACTCTCCCATGGTGCGGCTGGTGAGTTGGATCCGCCGACCTTTCAGTTAGCAGCTGAGCGCTTTAACTACTGCTCCATCAGGGCTCCTCCTGCTTAGACTCACTGCCCCCTAAACTTTTCATCTATACTTTAGAGCTACTGTTGTCAATTTGATTTCATATAGATAATTCTTTAAAAGGACTCAATGTTCAAGGAAACATTCTTTACTAATTGGGCTAAACTGTTGTTTAATTTAAAGATGACTTCAGGAGATATTTTCAGTTCAGGGTTTAAGGATTATCTTAGGGAAATAGGTTTGGGGGTTCCCCCAGTCTCAGTGGGTCGAGTAAGTCTGGTTTTCATAGAAATTGAAAACTCTGTTCCACATTTTTCCTCCTTTGGTATCATTTCCATTTGATAGATAAGAAAACCAAAGCTCAAAAGTTAAGTTACTTTTCTAGGTCACATAATGGCCAAGCCCAGCCCTGTGAGTCAGAATTGACTCCACTACAGTGGGTTTTAGATTCAACTCAATTCCAAGCCCAGTCACTCAACCTTCAATACCAACCACCTGTGAAGTGTTTCTACCCTCTATAGGCGAGAAGTCAACCACAAGAAAAGCACTGTGTGGAAGTCACAAGTTACTAACTGCCAGTGGCTTTGGGTACATCTCGTGATCGCTCTGGGCCCTAGTTCCCACATCCATCAAACAAGGGCATTACACGAAAATCATGGGTCTCCCACAGGGTTCGCCAGAGCCCCACTGCCCTCAGCAGCCGCATTAGGCAGAGCAGGGCCCTTTTTTACTCTCTTACACACTAGGGTTCTACATAGGATATTGCTAGGGGTGGGGGGCTGGGGGAGTTCCATTGCTAAAAATCAATTTTAAAAAGTAAATGATTTTAAAAAGGACAAATCATATAACTGGGTTCCCTGTAGGCCTGAGATTTTATGAACCAAGAGATGTTATTTTTCCTTACCAAGTGGAGTAACTTCTTCCATTTCAGGAGGAGAGAAATGCCCCTATTTTCCTATTGATCCAAGATGTTTCCTTCCCCCCCTAGTGGAGTCACTCGGGCGGGTGTCAGCACAGAGTCCGTGTTAGGAAGGGACAGGTGACTATTTTATGGACTAGTACTAATTAAAATGTCACAAGTTTAGGCCTCTTATTTAGTTTTAAGGTGAGGGGCTGAGATAAGTGAGCGGTTAGTTTCACTGCAAACCTGCTTTTGTCTTTTTCCCACAGAAAAGCCGGTGCTTCAGAGCAGGTACTCGTTAGATGGCTCCAAACTCGTGGACAAAGTTGAAACCGCGCAGCCCCTGTGGATTACGTTAGCACTGCAAAAGCAGAAGGGGTTTCGGGAGCAGCAAGCAACTCGGGAGGAGAGGAAGCAAGCCAGAGAAGCCAAACAGTCAGAAAAACTCTCCAAAGAAAGTGTGAGTAGCTTCGTCTTCAACTTTCTTTTGCCTCCCTGAGCTTGGCTCTTTTAGGTCACAAGGAGAAAAAAAATAAATGCTGCTGGGAGTGATCGAGATTACTTAGAAAGGTTAGGGCAATAAATTGACCACCGCTAAACCAGGGAAGCATTTTCAGTGTGAAATTTGGTCCGATTTCCTTATGCTCGTAGGTAAACCTGATTTGGCAGACTCCATGATGTATTAGAGGGCAGTGGTGATTCAGTTGTAGAATTCCTGCCTTCCATGCGGGAGACTTGGGTTTAATTCCTGGCCAGTGCACCTCAAGCACAATCACCGCTCCTCTGTCATTGGAGGCTTGCATGTTGCTATGATGCTGAACACGGGTTTCAGTGGAGCTTCCAGAGTAAGATAGACTAGGGAGAAAGGCCTGGTGATCTACTTCTGAAAATCAGCCAATAAAAACCGAATGGAGCACAACGATCTGACCCGCAACTAATCATGGGGGTGGCGCAGGACCGGGAAATGTTTCCTTCCATTGTGCTTGGGTTGCCATGAGTCAGGGGCTCACTCAACAGCAGCTAACAACAACATGCTGTATGAAGGAGCAGTGATCCACACACACACAACAGTTATGTGAGAAATATGAAAACAATTTTATCGGAACAGTGAGTTGAGAGGAAATCAGGAGTCTTGCTCTGTGGCCCTGATTTTATAGTCGGCTAGATGTGGCTCTTCTAGGAAAATAATGTTCCCTCTTTCGCACATTTGCACTGAGCTGCTCCATTGTTGGGGGAGTGGGGGGTGAGTACCTATTGCTCAAAATGTAGTCCAGGTCCCCCCTTGGGAGCAGAAGTGGAAGGGGCTGGCAGGCAGAGCCTGTAAGACCAGTCTTTCTGTGTCCTTATTTGAGAACATGCTTCACCTGACTTTTTCTGCCCACCCAGGTGAGTGTCAGCCTGCAACCTGAAAGCAGCAGTGTCAGCAGAGCTGGCTCTCTGCACAAGTCTACCGCTCAGCCAGCAGAAGAGAGGAAGCCCGAGACGGCAGTGGCTAGGCTGGAGCGCAGAGAACAGCTGAAAAAGGCCAGCACTCTTCCTACATCTGTGACAGGTAGCGAGTAGGTCCATTTCTAGTTGACTGTAGTTACGGCTCCCCTTCTCAGAGCATACTTTATTTTCTACTGTTTAATATCTAGTACACGAAGGGCAGTGGTGGTTCAGTGGTAAAATTCTTGACTTCCGTGGCAGGAGACCCCGGTTTGATTCCCGGCCAATGCACCTCATGTGCAGCCTCCGCTTGTGTGTTGCTATGATGCTGAACAGGTTTCAACAGAACTTCCAGACTAAGACATTAGGAAGAAAGGCCTGGCGATCTACTTCCAAAATACAGCCAGTGAAAACCCTATGGATCACAACAGTCCAATCCACAACAGATCATGGGGATGAGGATGGTGCAGGATTGGGCAGCACTTGGTTCTATTGTGCATGAGGCCACCATGAGTCAGGGGCCGACCTGACAGCATCTAACAATAACAACAATAACTAGCATACATTTTAGGCATTTCAAAGCGCAGGCTGTCTCATATCCCATTCATAAATTTTGACTCTGATGAAGTTCATCTCACAAAGACCACCAGGAACTCACCCACAGTCAGTGGTGTAATGATCAAAGTTTAACAACCAGCTCTTCAGGGAGTACAGGGAGTTCTGATTTGTAGCATTTGCCATTTTCCATGGTGTAAATACTTCCACCATGGCCAGTTTCAATGTGACTTTCCACTGGCTAGCAGAATTCCTGAGCACTTAACCATTGACTCTCACAAGCTGATATGAGCCATCTCCCCCACCCACTGCCTGTACTCCAACAAAGTTAGGTTTATTAACTTGCTACAGCAAGAGAGACCACATACCAGAGAAACCATCTAAGAAAGGAAGAGACAAGGTAATAATAGGATTTAGGGGAAGGGTGAAGTAAAATTTAAATGGGACCGTGTTTTGATGTCCTTCTCCAGGGATTGGTCCCTCCTGATAACATGTCCAAAGTAAGCGAGACGGACATGACAAAGTCTCGCCATCCTCTCTTCTAAGAAGCATTCTGGTTGTACTTCTTCCAAGGCAGATTTGTTCATTCTTCTGGCAGTCCATGGTATATTCAGTATTCTTCACCAACACCATAACTCAAAGGCATGGATTCTTCTTTGGTCTTCCTTTTCCATTGTGCAGCTTTCTCATGTATGAAGCAATTGAAAATACCCTGGAGAAGGACATCATGCATGGTAAAAGAGAGGGTCATTAAAAAAGAAGAAGACCCTCAACGAGATGGATTGACACAGTGGTTGCAACAACAGGGTCAAAGATACCAGCGATTGTGAGGATGGCACAGGACTGGGCAACGTTTTGTTCAGTTGTACATAGGGTCACTGTGAGTCGGAGCCAACTTGAAGGCACCTAACAACAACAGCAGTGTTTTGATGGGCTTAAACCAAAGCAGGGCCGTTTATAAAGGGGTTGAGGAAAAAAAGTGATATGCGTGCAATGGAGTCATTAGATAAGACTGAAGGTCATGAGGCCTGATCTGAAAACCTAACTCATCCTGTTTCCTTTGAAAGGGCAAAGTTGAGATAAATATGTGGAATGTTGTATCTGAAAAGCTGACTCCCCACCTAAGTTGGAAATCAAAGCTGCTTCTCTATATCAATAAGTGAGCCACAAGGCTCAGATCCTCGAGGCAGGAGTGAGATGTTCAATTCTCACTGATGTGATTTCAAACAGTAGAGTTTCTGGCGAGCCGTGATTTTAGAGAACAAGATTACTCAGCACTAGGTCCCTGGTGTTAATTAACAACAGCAGCTTTTTTTTTTTTTTAATTGTACTTTAGGTGAAGGTTTACAGAACAAATATTTTCTCATTAAACAGTCAGTACACGTATTGTTTTATGACATTGGTTAACAACCCCACGACATGTCAACACACTCCCTTCTCGGCCTTGGAGGACCTTTCTTTTTTTGTTTATTGTACTTCAGGAGAAGGTTTACAGAACAAATAGTTTCTCAGTAAATAGTCAGTACACATATTGTTTTATGACATTGGTTAACAACCCCACGGCATGTCAACCCTCTCCCTTCTTGACCTTTTTTTTTTGTGTGTGTGAAAATATACATAGCCAAAGATACACCATTTC